TTCGGTTGGGGTATACCAGTACACTGGAGAGTTGGTTAATTTTAACTCGGTGGGTCAGTGGCAGGGCTTTCGAAGGACATACTGAATAATGTCATCATTCCTGGCCAAGCGCTGCTTTCGCATAGACCGAGGAATACACGGAGAACGTAGACTTGTTTCGCGCTCGTTGTCATCGCAATCAATCCGGTCAAAACACCCCATGCAATCTCCAAGCCCGGGAGCCAATAACTTGGGCGTATGTAGGTGAGGATAATTTGAGAGGGAATTAGCATTATGCAGTAGGCGACGTTGAAGTACGTTGTGAATCTGGACCGTATCAGCTATCACCAACCCTGCGTATGGAAATATTTCGGGTCCACTCACAAATTAAGCTCATTTCCGAACAAGTTTAAATCCTCCTTCATACCAGATACGTAGGCGTTGTTGATATTCTGTTGATCGAGATATTTGATGACTGACAGAAGTCAGTTTTGCTGATCTCAAGCCGTGAGGGGGATGTAGCCTAACGCACCCTGTGAAAGACAACCGAAGGTCATCAGGAATATATCCAGGCGTCGGACCAAGGCCTTCTCCTCTGGAGATCGGATATCGACGTCTGTCGACGCATTGCGACGAAACATTTTGAAGGTCACCATGATTATGGTGATAGGAAAGAAAAAGCCGACATTCTACATAGCGAGGTTAGCCGTTCATATATACAAGCCCATACAGGCCCGAGCTCGGATAAGACCTTGACCCCTCACAGGTCAGATAATGTGTCTGGGGTAAATGTCGGATTGCAGATCCGAGTGTTTCTGCAAGGTGCACGCGTGATAAGAATGAGAAGCACCAATAGTTGTATTCCTCTATTGGGGTAACATCGGAAGGATGCCGGAGCTGAGATACATGTTTAGGGCATTTTGACGTTTAGCCAACTCCACTGATCTTGGAGATAAGTTGACCTCGGGAGAAACGAAATCCTGTGAGCTTGAAGGATTCGGGGAAAGTCCGCGATAGGAAAATGCCATTTCCCCGCATCTCCAGGATACGAGACTTTGTCTCTTTCAAGTTATATATATATAAATTCAGCATTTGCAACCTTGATTTGCAAATTCCCAATCTGGAATGATGGCTTCAAATGTTAAGACTAGCCGAAGCCTGCCGAATCCTACCCCTTGCTTGAGTTACTGGCAGCGCACAACTCGGGCATATCCGAATTTGACTGCAAATAGCGATACAACCGTTCCACCGAACTCGAAATATGTTGTGATAGGATCCGGTATTTCTGGCGGTTTGACGGCCTTCAAGCTGATCGAAGGAGGGGCTAATCCCGAGGATATCGTGATTCTCGAGGCCCGAGAGGCAGCAAGTGGCGCAAGCTCACGAAATGCCGGACATGTGCGACCAGGTCTGTCGGACTTTATTGGGGTTATTGTGAGCGTTTCTGATTTGGAAAATAGATGCCTTTAGAGGTTTCAATGCATATGCCAAAGTGCATGGAGAGCAACAAGCATTGAAGATCATCCAGGATGAACGACTTGTTCTCGAAAGAGTCGATGCATTTGTCAAAGAACATAATGTGGAATGCGATTTCAACTTGACCACGACGTTTGATGTTTGCATGACCCCAGAATTCGCGGCTTACGAGGCACAGAGCCTGGAAGCATTTAAGAAAGCGGGCGGTGATACTTCGCACATCACATTTCATGAAGGAGACCAGGCCAAGGAGAAGACTAGAGTTCCCGGGGCTGTGGCAGCATATGAGTGGCCAGCAGGGTCGAGCCACCCGGCAAAGCTTGCACAGTTCCTTCTTCAGGCAGTGATATCCAAGGGTACGAAGCTCTTCACATTTTGTCCTGCCACTGAAATTGAACGGAGCGATGCCTCAGAAACCTGGAAGGTACACACGCCCCGGGGAATAATAGAAGCGGAGAAAATTATCCATTGCACGAATGCCCATGCTGCCTTGCTACTTCCGCAGTTGGAGGCGTACATTCGGCCAAACCGTGCACAGGCCCACTCTCTCGTACCTGTCCCTGCCTTCTCAGGGCATAAGGCCCTGCAGAACACGTTCTCGCTCCGCTTCAGCCTCCTTCACTTTTACTCTCTGATCCAACGTAAGGGAGATGGTACATTGGTGTTAGGGGTATCGCGATCAAACCCAACAATGAGCCCTGAGACAACGGCTGGTCGATTTAGCACCGATGACTCTCGGTACAATGAAGAGATTGCCCAGGATGCTCTGCAGACTTTTGGTAAAATGTTTCCGGCTAATTCATCCCAGCCTGCCATGCACGGTGAGGGTTTGGACCATGCTTGGACTGGAATAATTGCCATGACTACAGACTCTGTTCCGTTCGTTGGGGCAATTGATTCTCTCCCTGGGCAATATATCTGTGCTGGATTTAATGGTCATGGTGAGTTTTTCTTTTGTTCGAGTATATCCTAAAGAAATGACACGCTGACGTTGAAACAGGCATGGCTCGGATATTTACCTGCGCTCCAGCAGTTGCCCAACTTGTACTTGGCAAAACCTGGGGTGAGACGGGGCTTCCCGAATGTTTCCAATTCAGCGACCAAAGGCTCTCGCGGCTTTCAAATAGAGAATTGCCTTCAATTTGGTAGAGTCGTACGGATGTTGAAATATTTTAGAGTCTATTTAGCTCCATAGACAAGACATAGATATAAGATCATTACATCATTGTTACCACGGTTAGCCATCAAGGTACGGTCCATCCTAGGAGCGAGGCTCTGAGAGTATACCATCCTTTTCCAACTCTGAACCCTCTCTCACTTTGCCTCATTTTGCTGCTTCAATTGGCCCTCAGCATTTAGCCCAATATGCTCTCATCTTTGACCCTTCGTACTTATATCAACTTCGGAAATATCTTGGATTGGCTGCCATTTGGATCTTTGATGATTGGTATCTCATCGATTGACATGTCTACCTGTGTAACATTTGCCTCACAAAAGGTGCTTGTCCTTGTAACAGTTATGCAATCAATGTTTGCTCTTTGTTTCTGTTTTATACGTTCATCTTCCGGTTCACCGTGTATATTGAGAACAGATATCCCTTCTTTTAAACATGAAAAATCAATTACCCATCTTCTGTCCTTCAATATATATAACTTAAAGCCAATAGCAACAAGAGGAACAACAGTTTTTCCAGCAAAGTCTTATCATAAGCTATACATCTATACGAGTTCTCAGCGCCTTTATTAGGAGTTTGTCCATATCAATGGCCAGCACGCGTCACGTCAAAGTGAGGCATCGGGGAGCCTGGTCTTTCCTATCACCTTTTTCTTTTACTTGTGTTAAGGCAGACTTGATGCCTTAGGCGAATAGGATCTTTGCTTCCCATCTAGTTGATCTTCCTTCCTCTCCCCAGCCCCAGTCGACAGCCCAATTTCAGGGAAGGAAGGACCATCCAGCCCCTTCCATTATCAAATCCTACCAACTCTCATGCTCCAGTGACTCCGTTCAGTCGACATCTGGCATGAAGCACCAAAGGCAAAGGCTTTCGATCATGATTCGAAGAACCCAAAAGGCTGGGCGCTATTAGGCGAATCCACTGCACATCGACGTCGGGACTTGACTGCTTCAAAGGTCATTTGGCAGCAGTTTACACCATCCGAGAGAGAAATACACCAAGTATGAAGGGTGGGAATACTGGACAAGGACAGTAGCCAGGTGGCTTTACGTTTAAGTGGATGACATTCAAGTGGAAAAGACAATACACGAAACGATCTAAATCTTTGCCCTCTCTACAAGCTGCCTTTTACTTTCTTTTTCACTTTCCTTTCTCCCTTCTTCCGATAAGATACATTTTCTTGTTTCTATTTAACCCGCAAACATCGCTCCAAAACTTCCCTACCCAGATATCGTTCTACAGTATTTTAATACCGAGACGCTGCCCATTTACATGCCATATAGGAAAGTAGGGAAGTGTTCCTGGGAAAGTGTGAGGTCGACTTTGGAGTTGGATTTCTCGCGGGCTGCGTTGACATCGTGGTAGATCTGTATGATTTCATGGCCTATGTATTATCGAGGAGTCGCTCTTATTTGTGCGTGGTCCATGCGACGGTTGATGGCATTGATGTCGTCGCTCAATTATTTCCGCACCGAATTTGCCTATTACATTAAGAAGGTCTGTATTTGGGAGGCTTCCCGTCGGCAGAAGTAGGTGGGTGTCCAGTTGGTAGCAGTAGTGTAATATCGGCTTTGCGCTGTCTCAAGTCAGTGGATGTTGCCGCTTTGGAGGCCCCTGGCTCCGCCAGCCGGATCGACCCTTTCGTGGTTCCTATATCACCTTTCGCTCACCGTTTTCTCACATTCCTCACACATTCCTTTCTCTCAATTTTCTTTCAAATTCCTCTAACATTCATCTCTATTTCATCTCTGTGTCATCTTTCTTTCTTCTACATTTGCAATTTTGTTTCTCTCAACACCGTTCGCTTGGCACTTCCAATGTAACAATGCCATCCCTACTCTCTCTCCCACCGGAGACAATCGACCAAATATGCGACTTCCTTGCTTCTGATGACTTACCCAGTGTCTACAACTTTGCACTGACGAATAAACAATGCTTAACCTTTGCTAATAGGCATCGTTTTGCGCATATTCGTTTTACACTGCTGGGCCAGGAAAGACTGAAAAGGGATATTCAGCGATGGAATGAGATACTTGGACATTCGTCTGCATTTCTATCTGTCCGTTCGGTGACAGTTCGGGGAGCCTTACTTCCAAACAATGAGCAGAAGGAACAGGTACCAGGATCTTTAACCATCAACCAAGAGGAAAATGAGGGTGACTTGAGTTGCCTGGGTAGCTACTACCGTCGCGATATTGATGAATTATTCACCTCTTTTCCTAACCCTCAGTATGATATCTGGAGTTCTCTTCAATCTCTCCTGTGTCGGCTGTCGGGCCTTCAAGACATGACCTGGAGCTGTGTCGCATTATTTCCACCCTGTCTGCTTGAGACCTTGCAGCAGTCCATACCACATTGCAGACTCCATGTTATGGCGTTCAAGCTACTCAGTTTATGCTACGATGACAATAGGCCTATTGACATTGATCAGTACGAATATCAATTGGCTACGTCACCTTCTCTCTCTAGCATTCTGGTTCCGGTCTCACAGATTGACTACGTTACGAACTTCAATGCCAAAGCAGCGATACAGCTAGCAAACGGGTTGGCTCCAAACCTGTCTCGGGTGCATATTGTCGAGGAATCAACGAGTGCGAGGTTTGATCCATCAGAAGCAGAAGACCCAGAATGGCGAGGTTTCTTTCAAAATCGCAAGGATGGGCACAGACTGCATGGGGGAAACCTTCAGAGTCTCAGTCTAAGCTCAGTTGGCGTTGAGTATTTTAAGGCTTGGCAAGAGCAGAATGCGTTTTCTACCCTTCGAGTTTTACAGCTTTGGGATGTCTCTGAGAGTGTTCTTATTGCGGCAGCTAGCTGCCATATCCCTTTGTTGAAATCATTAACGCTAAGTTTCCCAGGCTGGGATGCTTATGATGAAGCAGCGAGTGCTTTTGTTTCATCTCTTCGTCCATTGGAAGCAATCCGACTGTCTAGCGGCCGAAAGGAACGTACATTCCAAGCAGCCATCAAGCACCACGGAAAATCTCTCACAATGCTCTCGCTTCTCCCACGTGAGTCCGACCTTTACGAGGTGATTCCTTCCTTCACCAATTGGATCACGCAAATCCGACTTAAGTGCACAAATATCCGCAGTTTGCAGCTCTCTGTGCACCGACGAACACTCAAACAAGAAGTTTCTCTTTTCAGAACTATTGGAGAGATTTCTCATCTCACGAATCTATCATTGCGATTGATTTGTGACAACGACATAGAAGAACAAGAGTCCCTTTTGAACGCGTTAGACTACCCGACCTCATCGCCCGAGCTTTCACGGACGATGCTCCAACTAAGCGCGCTTCATTCCAGTCTCCTAGCACAGGCAATATTTTTCACTATTGCTCAAGAGTCCCTCCTGCAACGCCTGACCCTAGACATCCGGTGCACATTGTATCCCAAACGTGTGGCAGGATTTCTGAATTGGTCCTGCTGCAGGTGGAGGTGTCTGCGTGCGAGTGAAAATAGAATCATTGTGCGAGAGCTTGATAAAGATGAGGAGTGTAAAGATTGAACGAGACCCAACTCGTCTGCAGGGGCAAGGAGATCAAATGTTTGTACCAAGAAATACGTGAGTTGATAGGAAACGAGACGAGTGTATGATAGCCTCTTTCAGACAAGGAGGGAACCATGAAAATCAATGTTGACCTCGTCCACGCTCGATGTGGCCAAGGTAGGCACTGTACGTTTTAGACTCGATCTTGTTTCTATCACATGTGTCTTCTAAGTATTTTAAATCCTTTTCTTCTATAACCCACCTGGGCACAGGGGTAGAAAGCGGTCAATTAAAACAAAGCTTAGTAACGCCCCCTATTTCCAAAGTTCCAATCAAGCCACTTTCTATCGCAAGAAAGAGGTCTAGATCCTTCATTTCTATACTCCGTACTCCGTACAGTTGAAATATCCCAACCTCCTAACCTTTGGGTTCCGATCGGAGTGGAGCACCGGACCGTCCCGCCAAGGCCCACTGTTCAAGCCAATTTATTCTCTTGAATCCACATCCATGCTTGGCTTACGGTTTACAAGTCGCGTGACAAAGCGCTCATTCGTTTCGCTTAAGAAACCGCTCCATCTCCCTCCTACAAGTCCTGCCTTTGCCATAACTAGTCACCAGGTCGTCGATGAGGAGAGATGCCCGAACATTCCCCAAGACTACTACCCAGCAAGACCTGGCCAGACACTTGGGGATAGCTACCAGTTACTAGCGAAGATTGGCTGGGGAGCGAGTTCGACCGTATGGCTAGCGCGAGATATTACAACGTGCGTTCTGTTTCTGCGCAAATTTTGTTCAAGGCTAATTGGAGGTTATGAGTCACTAGATCGCAGTCCGAGCGAACAGTTGCTTTGAAGATTTTGACTAGCTGTGATGCAAGTCTGCGAGTGAGCTACTTCGTATCGAGCAAACGGTTGCACAAAAGAGTCCCTCACATACAGGTTATGCGGTGATACGCAACTGTCTGGAAAGCTTTGGGCTTGAAAGCTCAGATAAAACGCATCTTTGCCTTCTATATGAGGCAATGCGAGAGCCAATGTCCGAGTTTCAGAAACGCTTCGAGAACCGAAGAATGTCTCTTCCCGTTGCAAAGGCGTATATTGTTTTGCTTCTTCTGGGGCTGCAGTATTTGCATGCTGAATGCAGACTAATTCATACTGGTTAGTGATACTGGTTGAATTCTCGGTAAATTTATGAAAAAAGAGCAATGGCTAACGAAAATTGACTCCAGACCTGAAGCTCGCAAATATCCTGATGACCTTCGAAAATGACAAAGCTATCCCTAGATTCATCCAAGAACAAGTGCTCAAGACCCCGATGCATTACATGACTGATCCAGTAACCAATCGCACCATCTACCAAAGCTACAAGAGTTTCGGGCCAATGGACGTTGACGACGTCAGAAATGTACTTCCCAAAATAAGCGATTTCGGGTCGGCGTGGCAGCTTGACATCGTCGACCCAGAAACAAAGTCACAACACGAACCTGTTATTACATACCCTATACAGCCAAACTACTACCGTGCGCCCGAAGTTGTGCTTGGATATGGTTGGGACTTGAGTGCAGATATATGAAACTTTGGTGTCCTTGTAAGCCGCTGGAATATCAATGGTCTACTCATGGTGATAAGACTAACCCACTTCTTTCGGAGATTTGGAACATTGTCGAAGGCACCGAGCTATTTACTCAAGTGGAAGATGCTAATGGTCGATATGATCCGAAATCACATTTGGCAGAAATGATTGCCCTGCTTGGTCCACCACCTAAAGAGGTACTCAAGCGAGCAGACCATATGTCACATGTGGAATACGATTCCACAATTATGATTGAGAAGGGCAAGCCGTGCAAGAATGCTCGTGAGGTCTTTGGTGGTCCTTATTTCGATGAAGAAGGTGAGGCTTTTATCCTAAATCTAGGCACATGTGTCATTTTAACTCATTGTTGGCGGTAGGAAAATTCCTTCACGAGAAACTGATCCCAAATCGGAAACTAGAGGATACTATCCCATCGCTTGATGACTCGGAAAGAGAGCTTTTCTTGTCATTTGCTAGGGATATGCTCACGTGGGTTCTCTCGGAGAGGAAAACTGCTCGTGAGCTAACGGAGCATCCGTTCCTCAATTTCGGTGGAGTTGTTCCTAAAGATCTCTTGGAGGGGAGCTCTTAGAATATGAGCTGTTCGGTCCCTTTACACTATGCTGTTTACAGTGAGAAGAAAGCTCTCCACTATGTATAAAATCTCCACTATGTACAGATGTATCAAAAGAAAGATGCTTATGCAGATAGTTATGGACATGAAAATCGACATTGAAGTTATAATACATGCTTAACTTTTAAATGTATAATATCGTCATGATCTGTAAGTGGGAAAGCCGGGTGTGGGGTTTGTTATACATGTCCAGCAATGATTCTGGAGGTTGATGATCAAGAGGAAATCCCAGGGAGTTCCGCTCCATTCTGAGCTCAAATGGTGCGAGAAAATTAATAGCAGGGTCACTCCTCTCGCCCTCCTTGATGGGGATAGATACATGGTTCTTTAAGTTGCGCCTTGGTATTCCTATGTACGTTCTTAGAGTCAACGGCTACAGTCTCTGCCATATTCCAGGTATAATATAATGCGTACAACGCCGCGAGAGCTGCTGGAAGGCGAGAAGCATCTGGTACCCAACTTGCTGAGTGAGCTGCTATATTCAACAAGACACTTATAGGGCCTAGTAAAGCATGCTTTAATAGGCTACAGACGTCTGAGCATGGTTTTGGGTAGTAGATTTGCAGGAGGAGTTACATTCTGTACATGTAGACCTTATCAATTTGATTTTATCGAGGCATCTGACAAGATGAAACTACCTAGTACAGAGCGGCTTGGCTGTATGCCAAAACGGTCCATCAAAGCAGCAGAAACAATCCACGCGTTTTTTGATGGCAAGACCGAGACCCCAAGAGAGCTTCAATCAAGCTGACTGAAACGTGGTCTTTAGCAGCTGTCAGTGTGACCGTTGCCTCCATTCTTGCACAGGTATCCACACTTCTGGATAACCTTGATCTCGCCGTTGGAGCCTCCAAGACAGGCAAACAAAGCGTTATCTCTGTTTACACCAGGGAATGCGCCCTGAGCATCAGCAACCGCATTCCGGATCTGGGTGTCGTAGTTGCCTTAATATAGATTTAGCATTTTGCTTATCGTAATATATAATTTGCTTTACTAACCTCTGGACATAAGAGCTGAGGAACAGTAATTGAACTGCGTTTGGCAGTTCTTAGCCGCACCGAGAGAGGCAAAGGCAGCCACGGTGGCAATGGAGAGGATGCTGAGATTAACCATTTTGTTGGTAGAAGAGGGTGATTGAGATGACTGGGAAATGATTGGGAGTGATTGTTAAGTGAGGAATAAGAGGGGATGGGGAAGGGGTCTTTATAGCCCGCATCTTGTCTGGTTAAACCGCAAAAGTTTGAATGCTTACAACGCTTACCACATAGTGGACCTCATTAGTACGAGCTTTCTCATTGATCAGCGCGTGATACAAGTCCCTCAATCCACGAGCTAAAGTAGGAAAAGACCAACAATGTCGCCGGATGTCAAGGGATCCTTGCAACGGTGCAGGGTTTGAAGCTGCACCGTGTAGGTGGATCAAAATAATTGGTTGCTAAGGTGCCAGAGTCCGTGTAGCTCCAACGCCTTAGTCCTACTCTGTCATGCTCAATAGCTTATAATGTACTCCGTACTTTGTATGTGCGTCTTGACCTCCAGGGCGTGCTCAGAAGATGCAAGCTCCACAAGCCCCATTACATATACTTTTCTCACCTTCATAGTACAAAGTGTTGTCCAAAAGGTAATACCATTGCTCTATTGCAATGCATTGACTTGCTCAGATTTTATTTGAACTTGTCGAACAAGATACTAACCCTTCATTATGCTTCCGAACCGCAAAGCCATTGTACGCCGCCCATCATCTCCACTAGGAGGAACGGTCCGTCACTAAGTGGGTAGGTTCCCAAGCCCCAGGATCCATTGTGAATTGATGGCTCATAACCCGAGAGATCCTGTCGGTGAGTTGTATGTACCACGTGCATTTGGTAATACCCCAGTGGCCCCCGGTTCTGCTGCGAGAATCTTTTCAACCTAAAGCCACCAACTCAGGCATCAATTCCAAGCTCCACTACTGATATAATCAACGTCTAACAGGTTGAATAATGTGACGAAAACAATGCGAGGAAGATCGATGATAAAATGCACGTTCTCCGAATTCGGAACTATAGAATACAGAGGGGATTATAAATGAAAATCTGGATGCAAAGCACAGGTAAATTCAGGGGAACTGGATCATGACGGCTAGCAGAGATTTCCCAGGCATTCGACGGTAGCCTGCATATTCAGGTAATGCAATGTAACGCAATTTATGGAGCAATGCAATGTGATATTGGTGATATAGTCGCTGTAATGTATCGCATAAATACGTGGATCCCACGTCCCACTTATGGGCATGGCCAAGTCATATGTGTCCAATTCACTACAGAGAAAATAGGGTCATGTACGGACTACTCTGTAGTACAGCGTAAATAGAGCGTAAATAGAGCCATATTAAGATTCTCTAGTTCTAGGCAACTGAGACTCTGTACGGATAGCATGCTTTCTATTGGATACCTACCCCCACTAGTAATCTTGGAATCAAGGTCCACGGGTAAATCCCACCGATCTGCTTGCGCTAGTAATAAAAGAGGGCTTATGTTATAGTGAAGGCCTGAGCTTGGTATTTCACATGTAAGTTCGAGTATTCGTGAATGAATATTTACTATCTAAAGCCTGCCATCAATGGAAAATAGGTAAATTTGTATAGTATCTCATAGTAAATGCAATTGTAATTGAAGATTAGCTCAAACTTGGAGCCACATCGACAGAATGCTTAAGGTAAGATACAGGTATAACCTGATATATAACTATTACATAACAAGTCCATCGGTTGCTACTATTAACCCTTTGTGTGATGGTGGACCAAGCCCTGACTTTAGTATCAGGGTCAGGGTATATTGCTTGGCGCACAAGCCGGTGGCCTAAGGCAAGTATAAGCATTATGCAAACCCCGCAAACCCCGGGGCCGCTTGGGAGCATGGCAGTAAGGCATAAAAACGAATATAACTAACTAACTACAACATAGTCTCACGCTAGAGTTCGTCTAACTAGCGTGTGGCGTGATAAATAAGGCCTAAATGCAAGAGAGGCGCATCTGGCAGATATAAAGGGGTAGTAAACAGAAAGGATAGCTTCAGCTCTATGATATTGGAATAGAATTAGATGAAATAGTTGGATAATATGTTCAGGAGTGTATCAACCATGTCAATTGAGATTACCTCTGTTCTATGGTCTACATATCCCAGTCTAGGATACGCAGCCCTAATGGCTGGTTGCACTAGACCTGACAGTGTAATGCACAATGCAATGCAGGACTTGGCTCTTAGCGCATGCTCACTGATTTGTAGCCTGATAAACAAAGCCTGCATGCATTGTTCGCTGAATATATATAGCCCCCGACGTCTGACTGCCAATCCGCATAACGCACACTTCGATGTATCCACGATTTGTTTCTATCGATTTCTTTTGTATGGCTGAATTATAAAAGGCGCAATTCCAAGATTAATAAATACATTGGACTCTGTAGCCCGTCTTCTTATCATAAAGACGGATAAAACAAGGATAGAGAATCTCGGCATACGTGCATCCTTGGCCCGTGTCAACGTCAACCCAATGATCGTCGACGGGAACCTCCGCACAACGTGGCTAATACTGCACCAACCCCCTTCGGGCTTCAACCGTGGAGTATCATAAAGCGCTTGTGTCTACCCACCCAATCCTAACCATTGAACCTGCTTCAGGATTGCGGGACACCGGGTGAAAACCGTTGTGCTTTAGTACCAATGTGCATTCTAACAGCCCCTTAACCTCCCTTACCCTCGTTCCTATCATCCCAAAGGGCCAAATATCGAAATATGGCGAAATCACCACAGATCGCAGTGGTATGTTGATCTATTTCTTCTCCTCGCAGGTCTAACAGGTTATAGGACACGGATATCTATCTGACAGGCAATTATGGCGATGACTGGCAGTCGTAAATACTCGCACTTCCCCCACTCTTTCTCTCCATTGATCTCTAACATGATATTAAATAGAGAGACAACGTCTATCGGTTCTTCAATCTATCATGGCCTGATGGAAAATGGCAGACGGTATGGTTTCATAGTGCATTCTTCGCATCCAGCTCGGCCCGTGGCTTACTTATTCTCCACAGGTATCAAACGCTAAGCAACAAAGAATATCTGTATGCATGTCATAGCATCTGTCACTAAAGAAGCTGCCAACTCATACTCGATTCTAATCAGGATTCCGTCCGATGACCAAGCATTTGAGTCCTACGAAGCTGGGTGCGTACGACCAAAACCTCTCTATGTATCATTCTCGCCTTTTAACACTCTCAGCCATTTGCTCGCTATGGTGTTAGATTCGGACCGAGAAAACCCGCTCTTTAGAGCACCTGTGGGAAAGAACCCCAAGCAGATCCTCGACATTGGAACGGGCAAGGGTGACTGGGCTATGTATGTCAGAAGAGAGCCCCTCACCCATGACAGACAGGATTTCTACTAACCGGACACATATATAGTGACGTTGCTGACATGTTCCCATCTGGTAAGTGCCATGCCAATACCCCTGGGAATTTCCAAAATAAACTAACACCATCCAGCAACTGTCCGAGGAGTCGACCTCTTCCCACCTCCCGTGACATGGATGCCGCCCAACTGCATCCTTGAAGTCGACAACGTCTTAGAAGAATGGACCTGGAGAGAACCTCACGACTTAATCCACATGCGGGTTATGATCGGCTCATTCGATCCCGCTGGATGGGATCACGTCTACACAAGCGCCTTTAAGTAAACAAGCACTTCTCCCCCCTATCCATATCCGCAACTATGTGAACTAACGGGTGTCTCTCGTAGATCCCTACGACCAGGAGGCTGGATCGAACAACTCGAAGGTAGTCCCTGCATCCAATGTGACGACAACAGCCTGCCGGCAGATAGTATTTTGCGAAGCTGGGGGGATATTATGAGCGGGTGCGGTGCGCGCGCCGGACGCTCGCTAGACACTATCAATACCATGCGCAGCGCAATGGAAAAGGCCGGGTTTGTGGATTTCCAGGAGAAGACATACCTGTGGCCGATTGGGCCGTGGGCTCGCGATCAGAAATTTAAAGAGGCTGGCGTGGTTAATTACCACCATTGGCTTTCTGGTATGGAGGGTTGGTGTATGTGGTTGCTGACCCATTTTGGTGCGCCGCATCCTTGGTCAAAGGACGAGGTTACTGTTTATTTGGCCAAGGTTCGGTCGGAGATTAAGAATCCAAGATATCATCTTTATCAGAAAGCGTGAGTTTGGACTAATCCTGTGTGGTATTGAGGGATTGACATGCTGATCCTTGTTTAGACGACGTGTGTGGGCGCGCAAGCCTTTTCCCGGAGAGCTTACACCTGACATGACTCCGATCAAAAAGGAGGCGTGAAAGAAGGGGAAGTGACTGTCTTCTTAGCAACTAACTGAGTTATCGATTGGACATCATGATGGGAGGCTGTACAGGAAGGGGACTGAATCAAGATCTTGGAAGGTGCTCACAATGAATATTTCCTGTGACTGGAGAAAAGGCTGCTATATTCGGGATAAACTTAGGCTGACGGCGCTGGACATGGGTTGTGCGTTCATGTTCTTTAAAAAGCTAACATCTTAAGTGAAGCGATATTAAGATCATGTATTTCATTGTGTTATGTCGTAAGCTAGCTTAATTGCAACAATGGCTGGCTATTGTGCTTTTCGTCGCAAAGGCATCGGAGAGAATCATTGAAGTGTCTAGGATTTGAAATTCCATCAAGTTCAGGAATCCAGTTCCAAAGTCGTCATCTGCGAAGAAAACGTCCGCCGAACCCACTCCATGTATGTCTTCCACTTGTGAAGATCGCTTGATGCCTCCGCACCGGGGAATGCCTTGCTCAATTCTCTGGTAATCTTCAGAATGCCGAGGGATGCCTCTTGGGCCTTCTCCAATTCTTGTTTGACGGCATTCTCCTTTGGCTTAAAGGAAAGCACAGAGGTGTAATGCTCTGACAAGGCGTCTAGCCGCCGCTCAGTATCCTCCGGTGCGATCTTGATCAGTTTGGATATCATGAGATTGCTGATTGCACGGATATCTTGTTCGTCGTCGATACCGGCAAGGATGCGGTCAAAGAGTTCGTCCATGTGGGTGCGGGAGAACGATGTGTCGAGGGAAGCATAAAGGGTTTCATAGGCACTCTGTAAATGAGAATGTCAGTGGGGATCTATGGGGATGAAAAGAGATACTGACCTTTCGCAAGTCGAGCCCATCATCCACTTTGTGTTTGAATGGGCCCATTTGTACCTCGCGAATGAGTTCTGGCTTGATTTTGGTATCACCAAGAACAGCTGGCAGCAGCTCGTCGAGGTGAGGAAGCAAAAGATCCATCTTGTTATGGATTGCAGAGTTAAGAGTGGTCAACGCAAGCCGGTGGTTGCCCAAATCACTGTCACCGAGCATGTTGGTTAAGAGGGGCACCATCAACGGTCGTAGTACATCGTTGAAAGCGTCACTTGAATCAGCAAGCGTATAGCGGAATGCCGAAATTACCACGCCACGAACAGCCGGGTCGGCATTGGCCAGGTACTCCTATGGACATGAGGTTAGCATTGAAGATGTAGAAGAATAGGCACAACTTACTTGGAAGTGGGGAATGTAGGCAACGGGGTCAAGCAGTGCCAAACGGCCTACACATTCAGCCCCGACAGCTCGGTTGTCTTCCTCCTCGGAGACGACAAGGAGTGCGTGCCATAATTTGTGAGCGGATGGTGCGAGATCTGGCCGTACAACCTCGGGATGCTGAAGTAGTTCTCGTACCGAATGGAGAAGCAAATAGCTTTGAGCATTTGACTTTTCCAATCCATTCAACATGATTGGGAGATAAGTTTTGACGCTACCTGCAGCCGCGTTTCCAAGGGCAGTAGCGGCAGCCAAGCGCACATGATCTGACTGGGATTCAAAATGGGGAATGAAGAGATTCGGGGTCAATGAGCACTCTGGGCCCATTCGCAGGCCAATTTCGCCCAGGATAGCAAGGGCGAGGCACTTTCGGCTATCGTCCCGTGCAGTTTTGAGTTCTGTTGAGAAATCTTCCATTGTGACTCCGAGGTTCGGGCCACCGTGGACCAGAAGAGTGCCAACGGCTCTCCCAACAACTGAGGAGTCCCCTGTAATTCCCACATCACGGAGGAGATTCTGCATCAGACTAGCACCCGCACCTTCGTCGCCAATGACTTTGACCAGCAGCAACAATGCTTTGAGAACAGTTCCGACGAGTGGTTTGGTCACGATTGAGCAGATAGCAGAGATCAAACCGCTGTTAACCATCAGTTTTGCGTTTCCAGGGACAAGTTTGGCAATGATGATCAACGTGGGCGTAAGGGTGTGGAAATCAGCAACAGTGAGGAGAGGCAAAGCAGCGTTCTCCAGTGCTGCGATCGTCTCAGGACTGAGGTGGGATCTGATATTGGAGTTCATGGAAAGACTGCGGAGAGTTTCCAAACACGCGCCTCTCAAGGCCCGATCAGATTTGCGCAGGTTCGACCCTAGCTCAAGAGCTACGCTGTTGACCCAATTACTAGAAACGTCCTGCTTGCGGTTGGCGAGAACGACAACATCGTCAACCGCACGAACAGCGGACAATCGAGTTGTCTCGTTCTTCACCCGGTCGACTAAAACAGCCAGACCATTAGATCTCTTCTCAGATGAAAGGAACTCTAAGCCCCGTTCTCCTGATGTGCGTGCGAGAATGACACCGAACACATGAATTGCCCGTTGACGGACTTCGAGATCAGCGCTTGTGTCAGTGATTCGAGAGTGGACAACATCATAGAGCTTCTGCAGCTGCAGAGTGACATCGGAAGGATTGGCAGACACGCGTGGAGGTGTAATTGCCTTCACGATTTGCTCCACGGCACCTAAAGCCTCACTGCTAACTTTGTAGTTTCGGTCGTTGACAGCTCCGACCACACCGGGCACCAGAGCAATCAGGAATGGCAATAGCGCATCGGACAGATGGGTCTCGGCGATGACTGCAATGAGACCCAGTGTTTCGATTTGGAGGGTACCTGCACTGACAGCAGCCCCGGTATGAGCCGCTGTGCTCCCGGAGAGAGATGAGGTCTTAAGGGCATCCGCAATGAGGTCTTCAATTTGTTGGAGATGGTCCGCAAGACCACCATAGCGGACCAATGAAAGGCTTTTGAGGAGAATAATCGCAGCTTGTTTCAGAGGAATCGAAGCCTGCTTCCAAACTTTGACAAGGTTCTGTACAATCAAAGGTACGGAGCGGGCTAGATCAGCCTGAGAACCAGACTTGGGGGACGATGGCACAGCAGGGGAATCCATTGCTGACGAGGTTCCAGGACTCGGCTCGAAGTCAATCATTGACGCATCACTATCTTGGCGTCTGCGCTTGCGAGAATTCTTGGAGCCACCCACGGCCTCCAGGAAGTCATTGGATGTGACGATCATGGACCCCTCTCCGGTTTTTCGGACAAGGGCCGTCAATGTAGACACCACCTCAAGTTTCACACTCTCTTCTCTTTCCCTGCTAATTTGGGAGATCAGAGCTGGGGCAATCTGCTGGAACAGGGCAGAGGCGTCCGAAGCGCGACCAAGCCCGTAGGTAGAGATGACGGTGTAGAGAAGCTTGGCAGCACACCGGCGTACCTTCCAGCTCATGTCGTCAATATCACTGTAGCCGCCTTCTTCTTCAAAGTCCTCGAATTCGTCGTCTTCTAGGTCGGGCTCCTCCGTGGCATCGTCCTCACTCCCATCGTCCTGTGTGCCTCCCATCTCCTCATCGTCCTCCGCTTCGGCGACGTTTGGATCGTATTTCAAGAATCGAAGAGCTGATCGAGTGGTGTTGGCTAGGTACGGTTGCATCTGTTTGTTGCAGGAGCTGATCAACGCCTCGAGCGTGACCAAGGCGGTCTCTCGGAGCTCATCCACCTGGGGATCATGTTCGTCGTCGGAGTAAGACGACATTGTGGCGGTGATGAAAGCACAGAAGAGGTATTTGAAAGAAGGAAAAAAAGAAAAAAGGAAAGCGAAATCGCGGTTGACTTTGCGGACACACGCGCTGGAGATGTGGTGTTGGTCACCGTCACAGGCCTGGAGTCGCAGGCAAGCTAGCTGCCCCGCGCTAGTCCCGATATGGTGATAAACTCACGTGCGCGACCTCTACTGCAAAAAGTCGAGCAGATCAAGTGAAGGTTGAGCACGTTGTTTGGATGCTAAAAGAGCTTGAAGACCACCTTGCTTTCTTGCCTTAGCTCTCTTCTTGCTGCTCTGGTTGTCAACTGCCTTGGGAGCTGTCGAGGCTTGCGTTGAACCTTGCACGTCAATCCCTACTGGAGTCGACCCTCGAGTGGACGTAACCGTAGCTCCTCTAGACGAAGGTTTGGTGACGGTATTCCTTGAATTCCTTTGAGGTAATACAGTCCGCTGGTAGCAGCGTAAACATTTGTACACTGTGGCACCTGTAGATGCCGACGAGGCTAAAGGCTTGGTTTTTTTCGGCTTGATCTCAGTAACTTTACTCCACTGGGGCTTTCTAATACTACCACACGATCCACAGTAGTCTCTTTTATGCTTGACATTCAATGACTTAGATTCGTCGTGGAGAAGCCGGGTGCGCACCGCTTGGAGATGAGCTGATGTCGATGAACCGAGGGGGACAGCCGAGACAGCCTGAATGAGAAAGGAGTCAATGTCAGACATTGTGTCTTGAGAGAAAAAGATTTCTATTGAGAAATCAAAATGATTGTCAACTGAATGACAATGACAATGGAGACAAACGGAGAACAATAGGGACAAACGGAAGACAATAGCTCGTTTGCTATTCAGAAATTTGCCGCGCGGGAGCTTAAAAGCCAGCTCCACCCGCTGCTTCTTCCCATCTACATCTCTCTGCTCTCTACCCTTTTCTTTTTCTATCCCTACTCCTCTCTTGCTATCTATTCGTTTTATCTCCTGCAGCTGTCACCAGCTTCGCAGCAGGTATTTGCTTCCAAATTCCTTTTTTCTAGACAGCCTCATTCTGAGGCTTTTCTCGTTTTCAGTGTTATCAAAATCCGATAGCTCAGTCGGATTCGTCCACGATGGCGCCGGTGCGGATTGCCGTCGAAGGCTGCGTAAGTAATATTGCATGGGGATCCCCCACTTCATTGACATATCCACTTCACAGCTGGTTGCTAATCATCTTATATAGGGCCATGGTAGCCTCAACGACATTTATGAGACTGTGGATCGCAAGGCCGCCGAGAAAGGCTGGGAGTCTGTCGATCTGGTCATCATTGGTGGAGATTTTCAGGTGAGCTCCTTGTCATGCTTCCACAGCCTAACGTTGACTGACCAAACCAGGCTCTGCGTAATGCTAATGATGCGACTTGTCTTTCGGTTCCCGACAAGTTCAAGCAAATCGGTGATTTTCATGAGTACTACAGCGGGGATCGTGTTGCTCCCTATCTGACACTGTTCATTGGAGGCAATCATGAGGCGAGCAATCATCTGTCCGAGCTTTATTACGGCGGTTGGGTGGCCCCCAACATCTACTTTATGGGCGCGGCCAATATCATCCGCTTTGGACCTCTCCGAATCTCCGGAATGTCAGGCATCTGGAAGGGCTACGACTACCGTAAGGCCCATTTCGAACGGTTGCCCTACAACAGAGACGATGTTTCTTCCGTCTATCATATCCGGGAGCTGGATGTGCGCAAGCTACTTCAAGTCCGAACCCAAGTCGATATTGGTCTGTCTCACGATTGGCCCAAGGGGGTCGAGAAACATGGAGACTATGGAACCCTGTTCCGCAAGAAGTCAGGCTTCAAAGCCGATTCCGATTCAGGAAAGCTCGGAAGTGTGGCTGCACGTGAAGCTCTTAATCATCTGCGGCCCGCTTATTGGCTTTCAGCCCATTTGCATGTTCGTTTCACTGCAAAGGTGCCCCATAGCCCACCTCGCGCAAAGTCCAACCCCCTGAGTCCCCACAGTCCTGTTGATGTCACCGATCCAAATGAGACCAACCCGATTCCACGCAGCAATCTCAACACCAGAACCCTTGCTGGTCACGGATTGCTTGGCACTGCAACCGGAGACGAGCAGTCTCGCATCAAGGCTTGGAATGAATTCGGAGATAAAGCCCGACGGGCTGAGAAGGAGAAGCGCGTTCACGACGACTTCATGCGTCTGATCAGAGAGAGACAGCCGAAAGCTTCGCGGAACATTACATTCGACGAAACAGCCAAAATTGGCGGCGGCCCCATTCAGAATTTTGTACGTGGTGCCGATGGAGAAAGGCTTGAGTCCGCCCCAGTCGATGGTGGGAACGTTGAAAACCTCGACAAAGCCAGCCAGGGAAACAGCCCTGTGGATAACTCGCCCGAGGAGGTGGTCGCTCAGCAGGAATCTTCGTCGCTCGGTAAAACAACCGAAGATATCCAGACGACCAAGCAGGTCAGGACGACCAAGGAAGTTCAGGCGACCAATGATGTCGCTGACAATATTGACAAAATTAGCATCTCTACAAGCCCAAGCAGTGCCGCAAGCGCAAAGTCTCCTCCAGCCGAGAAGGCTCTTCCGAAAGCCGACATCTCTCTGAATTGGGGTGATGATCGCTCTCCAGATCCTTGGTGGAACGACGGTGTCGATGATCGGGTTCACGAAGTCGAAACCGCCCTCCCAACCAGCCTTGAGCAGTCGTCTCAACCCAAACTTGTCTCCAATCGCCCTGTCCAGGATCTCCCGACCCCCGAGAATATTAAGAACCTTGCGACCCAGTTCCTGACCTTGGACAAGCCGCACAACCACGATGATTTTGTTGAACTGCTGGAGATTGAGCCAATCTCCGAACAGGCTGCTGCGTTGGAGTCTCCCCTGCGACTCCAGTACGATAAGGAGTGGCTGGCCATTCTTCGTGCCTTTGCTGACGAACTTGAGTTTGGTGGAAACCCCAATGTTCCTGTCCCTGCCCATAAGGGATATGAGTACTACCAACAGCGTATCGCTGAGGAAGAGGATTGGGTAGAGGAGAATGTTGTCAAAGCCGGATTGTTGAATGTCCCCACTGACTTTGTTTTGACTGCCCCCGTTTATGACCCTCTTGTTTCAATCAACACCCATGAGCAGCCGAGGGAATACAGCAACCCGCAGACCACTACCTTCTGCAATCTGATCGGGATTGAGAATAAGTTCGACATGAGCGAGGAAGAACGCCAGGCTCGCATGGAAGCTGGCCCTCGCCCCGAAGCCCCTCGTCAGCACTTCCAGGGCAACCGTGGTGGTCGTGGTGGACGAGGCGGCCGTGGCGGACGTGGTCGTGGAGGTCGTGGTCCTGGGCGCGGTGGCTATAGTGGTCGTGGCGGGCGTGGAAGCTCAGGCCCCCCGGCCCAGGGCGCCGATGGCTGGTAAATTTGACCAGTGCTTGGCTCTCCTACCTGAATAGGGCATCTGTCCGTTTCTTTTGGTGGGTTGGCAGTTTCAGATCAGATACCGTGACGATTTTTAAGTGAGAAAATATCTTTTACCAATTTCTTTTGTTTTGCTCTGCGCATGTATGTATACGAAGTTATGATTCCACATAGTGGGCAGAGGCTTGTTATAGTCCAGAGATCCCTTGTTTTCGACTTGGATTTGTGCATATTAGTGACCCCAGATGTCGATAGAATACCTCGTTCTGTATGTACATAGCCTGTGTATTATCTGCATACACCATGGGGTTTCCGTCACTTCCACTACTTCCACCTAGTTCTCACTTTCTCCGACCTTTCAATTGTGTCTATGTTTTATTTCACTTTATTTCAATTTCTAGTCCCCGACCATTTTCGAGTCACCCTAGTCAATCAATTAATCCCGATCAAGTCGGCTTACAATCTTTATTGACATGGTAATATAAAAACCCATTCGCCAGGCCACTTAAAAAGCGACAGTCGCACTGAGCCTCGACTAGGTTGGTGTAATATTGTAAGTTACAGGCAAGGACCAAGTTGAATAGAGCATACTACCTAACTCACAGGCACCATGTATTCCCAAAATAGTGGAGTCCTGGGAAAATGGAAAAGATAACCAAAAAAAGATGTGCATCATCCGTGAATCGAACACGGGCCTCGTCGATGGCAACGACGAATTCTACCACTAGACCAATGATGCTGGAGGAAACAGGTGAATCAGATGGCTGATTGGCTGTTAATATCTGGAGGTCCTCAGTTTGACATCTGAAGGCAATGTGAAGATTATAGTCAGATTTGGTATGGCCATCTATCCCGATCTACATCACTTTGATTTGTTTGACACCTGATAGACATTGAACATTGAATTGTAGAAAATGGTAATCATTGGTTCAACTGCAAGTTTCTATGTATCGTACAGGACCAAGTTGATCCAGCCCTTTACTTCATTCAATCTCCTCGATGCGCGGACGTCCAGCATTTTCCCCTGCCATGGGATCAATCTGTAGACCGGCGATCCTGTCGCCCAGTCCAAATTGTGGGTTGAAGGCATCTTGACCGTCATGGGCACCAATGCCCCACATCAAAGACTTCTCCGACCAAGCCTCCAAACTTTCAATCAAAGCACGCAGATTTCCACGAGTGAGCCCGTCCTCCTCGCTACCCTCGACAAAGCGGAGCGTCCGTAGCATAGCAGGGATGTTGCCAATGGTCGACTGTACCTGCATGCTGGAGCCGTATGGAGCGGCAAAGGTGGAAGACGAGTCATCCAAAAGCGAAAAGCCGAACCCGATGTCCTGGTTTCCGCGTGTCTCCCGCGCTGCCTCAAGAGCTTTGAGAATGTCGAATATGAGGATAATGCTCGCTCGGCGGAGGATGGCACTCTCCGGTTCCCTCTCGAGAGTCAAGGTAGCAAGGGCGAGCTCGACGGCGGAAGAAATAATGGCGGGGCCAAGGCCGAGGATGTTGACATTGATGGCCGATCCAAGAATGGAGATTGCCGATGCCCGGATGCGAAGATCATCAGGGGCATCATCTGCGGATGCACCGGCAGCCCATGCAGCGACAACGTTTGTGGCGTACTCTGATTGCTCTGGGGACTCGTCGTCCGGATGGAGATCTGAGAGGTCGAGTTCTGATGCAGCTTTAGCTACTCTAGATGAGATGGACCAGCCTTCAGGCATGTTCGGTTCTTTTTCCTTGCGCTGCGCCCGCTCCCGTTCCCGTCTCTCCTTGGCAAGTTGCTTCTTGCGGGTTTCCTGTGCATGGTGCTTCTTGCCACGTCGTCCGGCGACGGAAATGATGGTCTCACCAAGAATTTTGGCCGTCTCACCAGCCAGTGCGTCTCCCAGTTCCTGCACTGTTCGCAACAGAGCCTCACCAATCCTGAGTCTTGCGTCCAATGCTCGTCGTTCGCCTCTGTCTGCATACTCTTCAACCAAGGTTTTAATAACGGTACGTGGGTGACGTGATGCCAGTGTACCAACTATCTTGATTGCGCCGAGGTATGCATATTCCTCGTTGGCAGCGGTCTTAGACGTGTCGGTGATGAGCGACAGCAGGAGTGTGAGGGTTGACCCCACATCAATAACAGGTGATGAGTTCATGATAAGTTTGGAAATCAGGGATAGGCCCTCGGCCTGCACGGGTGGTAGATCTGAGTTGAGATTCGCAAGTGCTTGACGATGCGTGTCAAGATCCAAAACATGAGCCGGTGCAGCCTTGACTGTGGTTTCGTCTGCAGCGGCAAGGTGAATCTCTAGCAACATAGACGAAGTCGTTGCTGGTTTGGAAAGGGTAGAAGGTAGTAAGGGAATTAGCTGATCGAGATCCTTTTTAAGAGATTCAAGGAGAGGCTGAATTTCAGCAGTCGGGGAGAAGTCGGCGGATGCAAGAAGTGTAGACATCAAACTGAAGGCTGTTGAAATGGACTCAGAGGAGTCGTTGACCGATTGCTCCGCGTCTTTGTCCTCCGTTTCCACAATATTGGCTAAAGATGACAGGGACACCTTGCTATTTACTTTGCCTTGAGTCGCCGTTTGTTGGGCGCTCAGTCTATGTAGCTCCCCATCAATGACTTGCTTGATGAGCTCTAAAACTCGGAGCGGGCGTCGAGTCAGCGCTTCTTTGAAGTTTTCAAGCAGCTTCTCTGCAACCTTGGCACTAACAAGCTTCTGAATGATGTTGTCACTTTCACCAACAGGACCTCCGGTCAGTGTGTTGCGAGGGAGTACAGAACCCTGGGGTTGCACTAGCCAGTTTTCACTGACATAAAGGAAGATATCGCCGGTCCGTTCCTCGCTGCTAGGATCTGAGCCAATGAGGCTGACGAAAAGTTCTGCGCGTGCTTGGAGGGAATCGATCAGTCGCATCAGATTTGAATGCTCGTTCTTTCCCTCACTCCGCTTCTGCAACTTGATTCCAGCGTCGGAATCTTTATGGTATGTCCACGTCGCGCCGCCGTCCCAAAGAAGGTTATCAACCAGCTTTTTGAGGGGTTGAGCTCCAACAGAGATACCAAAATACGTTTGGAGCAAGGGCAGGACCTTTTCATGTAATTTCGTCTGCTCTTCCTCCTTGGAGAAACAGAGCAAGCCCCACAATGGAAGAAGAATCGGATACACGATTCGTTTCACGAGACCCGGGTTTGGATGCTGCAGTGTCAGACACCTCAGTCTATTTAGAGCCACGTCCACTGTGGCACTATCCACCAAGACATTGGATGCGGGACGGGATTCCCTCGGGTGTGGCATAGAGCCTTCGATATCGGTGAAGCGACTGATCCATCGCTTCGATTTAGGATCGAGGTTCGCGGTAAGTGCGTTGAATATCGGCTCCACAAAGATGGAGTGACCAACAGTACCAGGAGCACCATAAGCACGTTTCCCCAAAATCCCATTACCGACGACGTATGATGCGGTTTTCCTTAGATCTGGATCATCGCCGTCTATTAATGCTAGCAGTTGGGGGGCAATTGTTTCAAAATAGACAGTTGGGTCAACATCCGATGGCACAGAAGAAAGGAGTCGTGAGATCTGCATGATGGCCTGGACAGTCAAACGAGGGCCATTTGATTGGTCTTGTGCCTCCTGACCTAGCGATGGGGAAAACTGAGATGCAATGAACATGATGGTTTGCGCTACGCCGCCGGGTCGTAGCGGAACGTGCGAGATCTGGCTGGAAATTGTTGACTTGAACCATGGTGTAGTATCCGACTGCAGAAATGCGGACATTGTAGGCAGCAAGACCGTGGTTGGGGTACTTTAGGCTGTTAATATTACCTAGAGATAGCAATGGAGACGGGAACATACTCATCAATTAGCTTAGCCAACGCTTTCTGATATGTGTTTCGGTAACACGATTCCGTAGTATTTGGATTGAAAGCCAGATCAGATATGCCACTGATTATGTCACTCAATATACGACCACGAATGATCGTCTGAAGGCTTGGTCTCGGGTCGAAGAGAATGTCAACTAAAACGTCGATTATGCGACGCAAAAGAGGCTCGTCGTGCGGCACACAGCTAGCAACTACTTGAGCCTGCTTTGCAATAACACCGGCAGGCAAAACTGAGATTACCCGCTGCTGCAGTGGGATCCCAACGCCCGATGATAGCGAAGGATATATCCCTTCCAGGGAAATCAGGTCCAGCAACGCATGTAGCATCCGACGGCGCTTGGCATCTTCTGATGGCGAGTCTGCAGCCTCATCAAATGATTGAATGGATTCATGTTGGTCCTCAGGCAAAACAAAGGATTTGTGGAGACTGGTCAAGATATCCAAAGCCTCATTGATTACCCTTGGTCTAGCGGCATCATCACCAGCACCGTCATTTTCCCCCGAGGTTTGACTGAGGATGTGCAGCAAAGATTTACCTTGGGTCTTCTGTATTTCCTCTTGAAGACAGTCAGCACCAGAGACCTAATTGTAGATAAACATCTCGAATGTGCATACCTCGGTCGAGGACTGGGGCCAGAAAGTTCTTAGCAATGCCAAAAGCTTCGCGAATTTGATTTGGACTCCCCATCATAGATACTTGTAAAATCCTATCATGCCAAATCCATGACAATTAAGGTATTCGCCTCATCGACATTGGCCAGTTCCAAAAAGTGAATCACCGTGATTAGAACAATTGCGGTCTTGGCGTTCGTAACTGGTTATGTAATCATGAGCAATCAAGATGTCACGTGAAGATAATCACGTGGTAGTCGCGTTAGTCTCGTGGCCCGTCGCGCTTACCCGCATTGAGGTAGTCGCGTCAACGCAGCATGTTGTTGTTGTCACCAACTTCGTCTACTCTATCCAATACCCATTCACATTCTTTCAACGGACAATTTAAACCGTCGTGGCCAGTTTCTCAGTCACCCCGAATCTTGCTTGTTTTTACGACGTTCATTGGACCCAATTTCTGTTCAGACGTGCCGGAGTCCCGCCGCGACCGTTACCTGAGTGTGGAGCCACTC